GTCGAGAGCCTCTCAAATTTGAGTCATTTTTTTTGGCAAGGGTTCCCAGTTAGTCTCATTAGCGCCCTCGACAATGCGGTTACCCTCATCCTTGGGGGGTGGCCGCGTGAGTCGGAGAGTTTTCTGTCTGCCGACGCACCTCCCATGGGTGAGTGACGTCCGGTTGCTGCAATAATTGTTTCCCGATTACACTCAATTTCCTTTCTCTGTCGGGGACGCCTGACTTCACGACGGAGGGCAATTATGAAGTCCCTCGAGTCTCCGAGATGTTTTGGCTGTAAATCTTTTTTTTCTCATCCAAGTAGAGACATTTGGACAGGTCCATTATGTTGCCCATTAGCTTCTTCAAAGACGAGATTATGGTAGATTATTTTTTCGGGAGCAAATGTTTCGCTTGTTGGGAGAATCGACTGGTGAAGAATGTTTAATTCCACACCGCAATTGAAGGGCGGCTCTGATCTCGAAATAAAATGTAAATTCCCTTCATCAACAACCATCTCGAATGTGATTTCGATTGCGCTGTCAGTTGTTCAGCATGGCGTCACACATTTCACTCCATGCGTGGGGAGTTTCTTCAGGAACTGAATTGCAAGATGATTTCAGGACCTCCTAAAGAGATCGTAGCCCTGTGGATATGCACATTTTATACATGGAGACAATATGGTACTGCTGGGATCTAGCGCTTGACAGGATTAATAGCTGTCTGAGGCTCCCGTTAGCTTCACCTCGGATGACCTGCAGCTGACTACCACTGAGATTCGGGTGGAAAATCAAACGGGTTGCTCAGTGCTTACCAGCAGCCAAGATATGGCCTCTCATATTCCTTCATCCTCAAAACCCTCATCTCCAAACTCCAGATGATCCAAAATTCAACTTGACAGACTTCTCAGCCGCACCTGTAAACAAGACCACATCACCCCAAAACTCCATGGACTCCAAATACAATCCCTGATCAATTTCAAGATCGCACTGACGTTTCTTGAAGATAGTCCCCTCTCATCTCACTCGACTCCCCACCAAAGCACTCTCCACTCCCACAACCAGGGATCCCATGAGACAAAGAAACAACGCACAGTAATGTAGAACCGTTGTAGCAATATACTGCTGGATGAGAATTCTCATTCTGAGGGTTTATTTGACCATAATTTATCACGATGGTGAGTGCGGGTTGATGAATATGGGAAGCCTATAGATGTTGGAGCATAGGACAGTAGTACAATGGATATTGCTTCATTGCCCTACGCTGCATACCACGTAGCCCCACAACGTATATTACCTGTTATTAACGATGGTCACCCATCCAAGCACTATCCAGGCTCCACCTTGCTTAACTTTGGAGATCTGATGAGATTGTGCACATTCCGGGTGATTTTATCAAAAGAATACAAATAGACAAACAGGCATTAGAGAAGGAGACCTCACAAGACAAATAAACCGGCGTAAGAGTAGAAAAGGACACAAAAGCGGACCGATTAAATAAACGTTTTCCAAATCAGGATGTGTGTTCGTCATAGGCTTACTAAGAGGAAGTTGTTGGCAAGCAGATGTTCTAATGAGAAGCGTGTGAGTGTAGGGAGCGCAATGCGAATTGAGAACAAGGTGTGATGCACACTGCAAAAGAAACTCGTAGCACACAGAGTTAGTAACAGTTACTTGCGATTGTTAAAGAGCTTTAAACGTTACTCTTGAAATCCGGGAGACTTCATTACCGCTCAGGTCCGCGAGACACAGTCACAAGCGGAGCGCGATGCTCATGACCGAATCGGCCTCACCCATTAATTGGCGTACCCGCACCTGTGGATGTCACACAGTCACAGTGCATTGCAACGAGGCACATTTGTTGCCAAGGCGCATCGTGCAATGCACACTGATACATGCTATTCAATCGTGTAAACATGTAACTTACAACATTCTTGACTGCAGGAATTCATATTCTATGGGTCTTTCGGTAAAGTCATGTAGATATTTTAAATACATAAAATATGTATTTTTATTTTCTATCTACGTGACTTTACCGAAAGAACCATATAATATAAGCATGTAACATCGGAAATGTCAAGTATGTGGTCAATGCGATTTGGTCTCGCCCACCCAACTGACCGTGGCAGTACAGCGATGAAGTATTGAATCCATCTGTGTGCAGCTTTGTCATGGGTTTGTGCTGGGTACAATACTCCACTTTCCACCCACATGCCACGCTCTCGGTATGCCCCAACGCAGAAACCTAATCAACGTTTTGAGTGAGGCATTATTGATACTGTAAAATAAGCCTTGCACACAGTATATTATTAAGTAGTCACACATATACCCAGCAGAATAGGACGTGGTGAAGCATGCATTGGCTGATAACCACTACTTGCCCGAAGCTCTGAAAATAAAGTTTCAACGAAAGAAAATTGGTTTTCGATGTCCACATCCTCCATCAAGCATAAATTTTTTCAACTTCCCAACGGCCATTCCTAAGGCAGTGGAAATTCCACATTCTTAGGACTGGAGTCAAGCATGCCCTTAATACGAACACCACTTTCTCACCAAAGCAACATTTCAGCAGTCAGTAATCATCTTACTGACATTATATGGGTTGAGTCGACCCTTCACAAGATTCCAAATCACACATTTAACTAAAGGCTCCACTGCTGTAGAATGAACTATTTTCAGCCGTTGTCAGTGCGAATGCGTGTGGGCTACTCACAGCGGACAGGCACAGATGGCCGTGCCGTGTTGAAAAAAACGCTTCGTCCGTTATCTCCTTCAAATTACGATGATCGATGACCCTGCCACAGAATTTGTGACAATTATTGCACCACCTGTCGAAGATGTACATTCATTCGGTTGTACAAATAGCAGAAGAGTTTATTGCCCTTCGAGGAGCATTATACAGAGGTCCCAATGTGGATGCGTGGAGCAGTACAAAAAGTAGGTTTGAAAGTATGGCTCAGATTTACATGTTCACAAAACAGCCAATGCACAATGCTTTAGGCGATTGGCCTCGTAGTTGGCAGTGTAGACATTGACATGTTTTGCTATTAATGGGATTAAATGACACAGCCAATACACTACTTGACAACACGCAACGTTTGAATTTATCACATGATACAATTAAGGGTGAAACATCGCAGTCTGTTGTTATTTTCTTAGAACCTTTTTACGTGACTTTACCGAAATACCCAAAGAATAAGGATGAAATACCATTGGAACCTCCTTTGCCAGTAGCAAAATATGATAATTGTTTTTTTTACCCTTTTATCTGGAAACAAAACTGACACCTTTTTTTTTACAAGGAGTCATGTTTGCATTGACTATATATTATCAGAGTTGTGTTTGTTTTTTTTGTTTGCATTCCGACCGCAGGTATTGTGGTCAATGCAAACATGACTCCTTGTAAAAAAAAGGTGTCAGTTTTGTTGCCAGATAAAATGGTAAAAAAACAATCATCAAGGATGAAAACCCAGGACAAATGTATGTTGAACTTCTTTAACACCGCACATAGCCAACCACGCCAATCATAAACCACAATTCATAGCTCAAGCAGATGAATGTTATCAAATTTCCCCTTCATTTAACTCATGTAATTGTTGCACAAGGGAAACCTGCAATGCAGTGATAAAGAATAGCTGCATCTAATTTAATGACAAAATTACAATTAACACCTTGTTTCCTCCGCGCATTATCATGTATACCAAACTTGGCAGTTTTGTCAACAAAACGGAATTTCACACAATCACACCATTGCTGTTAAATATAATTAAGGGGCGCGCACACTGACACATTACCGTGTATGGCTGCCACTCTCCTTAAATACACGATTATAACAATAATATGGGACTGAGATGTTAGATCAAAATTACACACGAAAGCAAACATTAACTCATAAAAATGGGCTAGTAAAAAAGCATGGGTTCGGAATGAGTGTATCATTAACTTTACATCACTTGCTGATACCTCTTGTGCATGGCTTCCCACTTCACTGGGACCAGCAGCAGTGGGTGGGGGAATGTCACTACCGTGGGTAGGCTTTCTTCAACGTAACTAACACATCCATTCATGCATTATCCGAACCTGGACTGACCAGAATGGGGCAGACACCTGCAATCGGATGGATACAACCCGAGTGGAAATTTACTTACACGTTTCCTATACTAAACACAGAGATACCAAGGGACATTTCTTGAAAATATTTTTGCTACCAACAACTTGTGGGGCAGTCCTCGTCAAACTTCTGCGTATGTTCACGCGGTTGTGCTGGAGAGCTCCCACATGTGTTTTCCGGTTTTAAGAAGCGACCGGAATATGCAGCAAGGCGTGGAACGTCCGGCGGAATAACACACCGCATATGAACACATAACGGAGAGCTCATGAAACTGTGAAAAAACAAATCAAGCGGAAAGAAAAACCAATGCCACACTCTTGTCTCTAGTTGTCTATTTATTGTTTTTGTTGTTGTTGCTATTTACACATTGTACAGGCACGATAAGCATTCTCCACAAATGCGCAGCTGAATCTGAATCAAAACGAACACCATTTTGTTGATACATTTTTCATTAGAAAACCAAATACGCAAGTGAAAAGTTTTTTTTTATGCAAACATCCAGCGCGGTTATATATAAATTTATTCTTGGAATTACTGCGGATCAAGCCGGTGCCATTCTGTGCAAGAGATTAGTAAATTATGACCTCTATGCTAACACAAGTATTTCCAGAGTTGCCACGAGACCCCTTTTCACAAATACAATAAGGTGCGATATTACATTTCATGATGGCAGTTATTACAAAATAATGTAAATTGTATATTTGTGATTGTATCTCACATCTTAAGTTTATTTGTTGTGCTTAGATGGACTTCAAATATGAACGGATGCTTAAAATGACTTCAAATAATGATGTTCACTCAATATAGGCCTGCCCAAGTATTCCAATGATTGTAAAATAATAAGAATCTGCAACACATCGTTGTAACATGATGGCGATAAATCGACAAATTGCCAATTCCTCCAGAAAACCTTTGCAAATCTCCCATTTAATGTGTAATAGCATTTTTTTTTCACTTTAATTACAATTGCAAACTTATACCATATTTTTTTACAAAGAAAATGTGTATTTAAGAAACAATGAGCAACCATAAGAACAATATTTCGAAAAAGTACTATATTATCGTGGATCTTGTCTCATACAACACATTTTAATATCACCATATCGCTGCAACCCGATTGATTGTTCACCAATAATTCAACTAATGATGGACGTACACCTCCTGCACAGAAGAGCCATGTTGAAAGGTATTCAGGGTTCACGTGTACACAACAAGTACGTGCGCGACAACGCCAAAATACTTGGCGACCCACAACGTGAATACCACAGTAACGTATACAATTGCAGGCTAAAGGTCTACATTGATACGAAAGTTGGCCGTGGCTATGAGCGTGCTTTGCTATGTTAAATAGTACACAGAATCGGTTTTCCAATGAAAATTGTGTTAAGTAATTATAGGAAGAGGTGTGAGGAATGCACGGATTCGAGCGGCTCATTCTCATGTGATACTCCAACCTGAATACAGCCCAATGTGATCCTTGAAACCACGTTTCCGCAGGCAGACACTTGAATGGCCTGGCGTCTATGACCACTGCATTGCATTTCAATTCAAGAACATATTTGTGTAGGGCTCAAATCCTTTTCGTATATATAACTGTTTGTGTAATACCCGGGATATCTTGTACGACACATTTAAATTTCTATTTATGAAGATTTGGAGAACACATTTTTTTTTACATTTTCATATTTGCTAAATTCTAATCATATTTGCTGAACAATCGTCAATCCGAATCATCGATATTTCCAAGACCAAATTCCAGGATGGTCCCTGCTTGCCGAATTCTATTTGCAGGACAAATCGAGGTGCGGGACGAAACCAGCAATGCTGAAGAAAACGATTTGATTGCAGTGATAAAACACTTCAAGACGGAAAGGGGACCTTTCCCGATCAGCAGTCGTGCGTGGTGCTTGTCGACTCTTTCTCAGCAAATCAAGATCATGAATAGGTTACCAACAAACAAAGGCATTCCTAGTCCTCCAAGACGGAGGCCACCCTTATCCATCCCAACGCGCTAAGATTCCGTGCATTCAACGTGCATTCCGCCTCCCTCAACACCACACACGGCTACACCTTTATAGCGTCATGCATGAAGTTACACTGACCAGGCGTGATATTACAGTGTGTGTATATATGTGTGCATCGCTACCACACGTCGCTCGCGAGAGGAACACGTAAGAACGAATGAAAGGGGAGTGCAAAACCAACCCAGACGCGGGTTCTGCCCGGATCCTCGCGAGTTTTGTAAACAAACCAAACGCACAGCGGGACCAACAAAAAAATTAGATTCGCCACTGCCCATCACCGAATCTTGACTTAAAGCTTTTGTGACTGCAGGAATTCATATTCTTTGGGTCTTTCGGTAAAGTCACGTAGATAGGTTCAAAGGCAATAACAAAAATTACGTTTCAATCACAACATCGTGATCGCTTGCGTTGTGATCGAAACGCCGTAGTTTTTGTTAATGTCTTTGAACCTATCTACGTGACTTTACCGAAAGACCCAAAGAATATGCCCGTCATTGGTTTATATACTCCTACTGAACACTCGCGTCTGATTGGCTGGCCCTTAATCACACGCCCATGACCCCGTCTCCATAACACACACACGAGGGGCAGTCACAAAGGTTTTGCAATGAGATATTAATGTCAGAATAGGATCGTAATAAGCACCTTACAATTGGTTCCTTGTTTTATAAGCCGAGAACCACGTGATTGCAAGGAGGACACGTGTCTCTTTTAGAAAGCACATAGGCGTGTAACGATTCATGTCCAAGATTCGATTGTCACGATTTTGGCGTCGTGATTCAATTCAGGGAATCGCTACTTTGTCATTTTTTTAATCTTATGTATGCTCATGCTTCACTTGATTGTACAGGTATAGCCCTCAGCGTAACATTAATAATCATGATCTTGGCATTTATATGGCGCTTAAAACGCCTCGGCAACTCAAAGCGCAATCTCAACTCAAACGTACGCAGAGCGCCCCCCCCCCCAGTGGCAGCTGCCATAGTGTGGCACAAAGCAACTGGGTAGCGCCGTGCAAGTGGGCAACTTTGCCAGTCTCGGGCGATGGTTGCCACGTATCATCTTAGCGGAGCCATTTGCAGCACACAATTCTCGAAGCGTTTCGAATTACATTACGAGAATTTAACGTCCACTGTGAAGCAGAAATAACATATCTTGCAATAATGAATAGGGCGGCCTGCTCAATTCCAACCACAAACCTCGGCAACAAGTGGCAAATGCGTTCCTATTCGGCCACGTCACGGCCTCTGTATGCAACTCACAAATCGTTAAATAATCGATACTGACACTCGTAATTTGATATCTGTACAGATAAGCATTAGAATAATTTCATGTTATGAATTGATGCATCGTTACACACCCAAAGATGTCTCCCTTGTAAAATAGATGTATCAATTGTCTCGTAATTAGTCGTAAAAAGGGCTGCTATAGCAGAAATTATGCAGACAATACATCCAATCTTCTCCAGGCCTCCGGGCCGCATCTCGTTTGTGTATTTGAAGAGGTGACACTGCCCTGTCGATGGCTTTGTGTGCGGGTACACGACGTACAAAAGTTAAGGCAGGGAAACAAAAACGATCACTGTGTAAATATATCTATACTGTACATATTCAAGTCTTTGTTTGCAAACAATGCTTATCCGTTCATCGGCTCTGAACAAGAAAACAAAAAAATATCAACCTGATGTTTCATTGGCGTCACCCAACAATTGGCAAAAAAAAAAGAAATTAAACCGGAAAAGACAAAAAAAATTACCCACACCATACCTCCTCCCGACCATCCCCATCTTCTCTTCCCCCCCACCCACCCAATACAATCAATGTAAAATGTACAACTCCATTGCCATTCTGGCAGATAAAACAAATGCACAACAGATTTAAAAAAAATCACTGCACTGCCTTAACGCAATCAAAACGCCTATATATTCTACAGGGCCCCAAACGTCGCTATGTAAACCACAGCTAAAATTGGGATTACGTATTTATATATACGGTGTAAATATACTTTTTATCACCAATTTATGTCCAACAGCACATTTAAAAACGCTCACAGCAATTTGCCCTAAACGCGTATCTGTATACAACTGTACATCCACGCCTCCACGACATGAACGTATACGCAAAGTTCTCGCCTTGGCAGAACACGGTGAAATCACCACGTCCAGCTGTCAGCCACACACCAACATCGTTGCAGCGATTGACCTCAATGTGGAAGCACCGTCTGTGACAAGCCGCTGACGTTATTATACTGACACGCCCATACTGGACATCTGTGGACAAAGCGCTTCGAAGCTCATCGAATTCCTACAGTCGAAAGATTGATCAGTGGGGACTGCTGCAAAAATTGGTGACGGGAAGTACAAAATAACATGACGGGAGGATCGACCGTAGAAAGAAATTCATTTCAGTGCAATTACATTACATTGGCTAAGTGTTCATCACCTGACATACACATGATAGTCAGTACTCCACAATTGTATTAATTAATCGGGCAAACCGGAGTTAAACAGGCTATCTCCGTAATGGTGTTTCGGTCAGGAAAGTGTCAATGGGACAAAAAAACCTTTGGCGAGGCGAGTTTGGGAGAATAATCCGAATCATGTTTACCTTTGCAAGGAAACGGACGTGCCTATAAAAACACACAATTGAGAACTGTCCAATATGGAGCATGTACCCACACACAAGAGCAACAGCTCTGTATGGAACCACCGATGCTTAATGTGTCATACTGGCAAATATGCAATTAAAATGGTTTTCACTCCTGTGTTAAAGCGCGGCAGCAGTGCCCTCTACTGGCAGAGGATAACATCTCCCAACCCCGTACCACAGAATGATCGAAGAGAGCCGCTTGTGCTAAAGAACGGCACGAGCAAACGTTGGTGATGAAAATGGAGTCAATTCGCGGATTCAAAGAAAGCACAGGGCAGCATCTACAATGTATTTTTTTAAATCGCTCAGAATCTAACTTCTTGGCCACAATCCAAGATACATATAGGCAGTGCTGTGGCACCACATTTGCAGGATAGGAAAATAACAATGATGTAGAACGTTTATATGGAACAATGTCAAATCGTGTGTGTATGTATGGAGAACTTATATCGAACGGTACGCAGCTAATCGTGCTAATCGGAGATGTTTACTGTGGTAGTTTGATTCTGGTGAACCAATAAAGGTTAGACATGTAATTAATTCACCAACGTACTTTAAGATAAACATGTAATAAAGTACGTAAATTATTCGTTCCTTTTCGAGGTATAACCGTGTTGTGTATGTATGCATGTATTTGCCAATCATCTTAATAGCAAAGACTTGAAAACCACCAACAAAAAAATATATAAATAAATGTAAAATTAAGTATCATTCTAAATAATGTTTCAGACGAAATTATTTTTCAGCCAAAACATTTAAATGGATTTCTTCAATGTTATTGGTATACATTTAAGTAATGACACTTGTTAATTTTAACTAATTATAATCACGGAAATTCCACCTTAAATAGTAATAGTTCACACCTCCGACCCCCCCCTCCACCACCCCTAAGTACATCCAAAATTGTTTAACTAAGAAATCCATCAAGTCTCCAAAATTCGGTAAGAAAAAATCTTGTGAAAATATTTTTTTCTAATTAATAAAAACCAGTGCGGCTAACAAGCATGAAGGTGGTATGATGTAATTCAGTGGTGTTATCTGGCAAACCGTGTAGAGTAGGTCAGTACTTGCACTATAAGGATGTACTTCACTCAAATTTGAGATGCATAATTCCTGTAGATTCATGAGACAAGGCTCACTAAAAACGGACAGCAATGGCACGCAGGCTTTGCTCAAACTCATCAGCTGCTTGAGAGACGTCTTGAAGACACGGAGACACAAAAAGCCAAGTGAAGAGTGTCAGAAGTGGTGGTTACTGTGTCGATTGAAGCTGGATCTCAGGAGTTACCCTCAGCCGACTGTGTATGTGACCTCTGTGTGTCATTTAAATGTCTGTCTTGTTAGTCACAAGCGAACTCACAGGAACCAAACATAATAACCGTATAAGATGCCGAAGGAACACCGACTCCCAAGTGCCGCATGATACAGGAATCCCCCGAAATAAGCTGCGGCGTCATGAGTTACTTTGCATATATAGGCTGCCGATGCATTTTCGGGAGCATATTGCCTTCGAAGTTGTGTTCTTAAAAAAGTGTCGTGGAGCACGTGGAGGGAAATCCCGTTCCCACTACGTCGTGGTATGCGCTACCCACGTAATGTACAGTATTACATAGCAACATAGCTGGAATTGGCAATGTGACGTGGTGGAGTTGATATAATTATTTGTATTGAGTGAAAATGTATGTCGACTTATAATTGTATGCATTTTCGTGCACTTCACGACGTTTAGTCACATTTCTTTCCCAGGAATGTCAGCTAGGATATGCCACTCCTGATTTTAATGTCAAAGCAATGGGAAATTAGTATCCTTTAAGTAATTTTGAGTTAAGCTGCATTTCCCAGGAAATGCTGCATTTCCCAGGAACTGCTGCTCCTTATGCATAGTGGGGGGATTCCTGTATAAGTGGTGGTAGACCAAAGCATCCCCAAATTAGAGAGGTGGACACTTTCTATTGAGGTGCTGAAATCTGCCACATTTGCCATTTAGTCATTGTTGAAAATAAAAAGCATGCTTGAAGTCTGAGAAATAACCTTCCTGCAGATGAACTGTTTTGACAAAACAGTGGCTTCTTCCTTTGAACAACACCACAATGAATTGTTAAAGAAACATTAAAAACACACCCCCCCCCCCCCCTTAATTCAACATAACTGCTGCCAATTACACACATCCCACACAATTACCTCCAAAAATGATCAACATTCCACAATACGAGAAGCATAAACATAGCAGAATGACAAACAAAACAATTATCAAGACCCTTTTTTAAACACCCAAAAGCAATCATGTATTTCCGAGCAACATCAAAGTGTTAGGGTTACCCAAACAAAAGAACCATACCGGCTATTAGTATATGTACACGTGTTTGTCAGTTGTAAATGTTAATTGCTTTACAAGTCTTGCAACAGCCTCGCTTTTTACTCTGAAACCTGAGGCAGTGCAGTTTAACAAAGGACAACAAGCCACCACACAAAAATCAAAACAATCGATTTTTTTTAGATACCCTGGACTTGCTACTAGCTTTAAAACAAGTCATTTTATATTACCTTTTTCAACACTAACTTTTTCCTTGCATTTTACACCAAGCATTAGCATTTTACCGATCAAACCACAACTTCTATCATGTTAACTCTGCTTCTGAGTTTGTCAATGCTCAAGCTTATTCCAGTGTCCTATGTACAACGAAAACGCTGAGAGGATACGGAGACGGTGCAACATCAGTCATTCACTGCTGCTGTGCCAGTGCCCGTCTGTTTTTATGTAGAAGGGAATTAGTGCACTTGATTTGCCTTCATGTGATGCCTGCAACAGTGAAGCAGCAGTCCAGCCTCTCTCTTCAGTCAGTCCTGGTTTCCTGTTCTCTCTGGCTGGGTTGTGGTTTCTCCAGCACTCAAGTCCATTAATCCGGCCTCCAAATCCCAAATATCATGTTGCACATGACAGGGCTTCACTATGCATGTATGTAGAACGTCTTTCGCGCCTATCAACACCTCCTGTATTTTTTTTCAGTCGCTTTGTGTTTTCTCCCATTGCCAAGGACAATAGCTCAAGATTTTGGCAAATTCGAAATGGATCAATTCCATCTTAAAATTAAAAAGGTAAAATTAAATATTCACGAATTTTTAAAAGCAAGAGAAAACAAAAACATCGGCCCGATACACGGTTCCCGAATTCCAGGTTGGCCAAGCTGCGGTCGGTGGTCATTGTGTTTCTTTGGCCACCATTGCTGCCCGAGGCCTGGCCATGCCATTTTGAACCCCAAGTGGCTTTCGGGCAACTGCATGCGCGTGTGTGGAGATGCCGAACTGCTTGCGCTGATCTCTCGGAGGTCCTTCGACAGGCTTGCTGGCCACCTCCGGCTCCCGAGAGTCATCTGCCGTGTCCCTGTCTGCATCGCCCATATCTCCGGCCGTCCCAGCCACTGCGGAGCCGTTGGCCACCGGCTGGGATGTGGGAGGCATTGGGGGCCGCTGGCAGATCTGCGCGTAACTCAGCTTCTTTGGTTCCTGTTGTTAATTGGAAGTTGCGCAAATCATTAGGTTATAGCTTGAACACATGCTTCTGTTGAAAAATGAAGTTTCTTTCCTGATAAGTAAAGTTTCATTACTGCTCATGTTAATTAAACAATTTTAATTTATAGTGTCTAAATATTATTTATTCCTAAGACACATTAACTATTTCATGCTGTACTATATACCAGACAAGCACAAAAAAACAGTAAATAGTCAACTCTTGAATACCTCGGGTTTTTACGTAAAACGGGGTGTGGGGACACTGTCATTTTAAATGGGATTGCTTGCTCACACGTTTGCAGTCACATGGGGATCGAGTTACTGACCATAAACAAGTGAGCAGCAGCAGATAATAATAAAACCAGTGTGTGCATAAATCTATTATTTATTCACAAGCACAGGTAATCCACAACCCAGATAGTACACCAATAGATAATTGAGAGTTAACAGTAGAGGAGAGGTCTTGGCCAAAATGACACGACAGGACGAGGGGCTGTGTCCAGGCAGGGGGTGTGTGCAGGTTCTCACCGTGGCATGGACCTCAGCGGGTCCAGGCGTGACGGTGGGAGCTGGGGCACGGCTTTCGCTCGGTTCATCCGTACATGTGCCAGCCGTCTCCGTGGTACTGCGCCCGTACACACAGAGGATCGTAAAATTCTCATGTCTCACTTTGGTAAGTGCTTAAAGTCACTCCATCTGTCATCCTCATAGTTTCACGGCTGATGTCCATGAGAGACAGTTTCCAAAGTTTGTGATCTTCAGCATCTCATGGATAGCACTGTCCAACTGCTCACATTATCCTGGCAACTGATCCTTTTCTTTATATATATCGACAAGTGTGTAGTACATATTAGCAACATTTGATTAAATGTGATATCAAAGAAAACTAGTCCAATGAAAAACATGAACAACTTAAGAAAACAAGGACTGCTGTAATTGAACTGCTACGGAGGGAACTGCTATGTTTCATCACCATCACAAAATATTTATACCACGCCTCCCATGCAGTACATGTCAAGGCGACCCCTGGTGGCAGTTGTCCAGTTGAATGTAGCACCGCCAGCAAGTGGAGATTAGTCTGCCAGTAGGGGGATATGTTGCTATGTGGCTTCCCAATTAAGTAAAGTACGAGTATTCTTGGTTCTTTCGGTAAAGTCACATAGAAGGGAAATAATAAAATAATAAATATATCAAACAATAACATTCTCACGACGTTTCGACTGCAACACAGCAATCATCATCAGGTGTGAAATCCACAGCAAGAACCAAGAATATCAATCCCTGCAGTCACGAAAGCTTTAAATCAAAAGTACGAGTAATTTATCAAATTTGGAATATTGTTTTATACAAAAGAGCTTGAAGTGGGGAAGCTAAAACCATGCACAGTGGGAGAGAGGTGTGAAGTTGTGGCTTACCTGCTGACAGTGGCTTGAGGTGTGGGGCAAGGGATTGTGGGCTCAGGGCTGCACACAGGCATCGGCGTGGGCTTGCTCTTGTTCAATGCGCTCGGGGGCACTGCCGTGCTGCCATTTGTACTCCCAGTTTGCGAGGCCTGCGTTATAAAAATATCGAGTCTTTTTACAAATCTATTTTACGTACTTTTCCAGCAACGAACCGTATAAAAACAGGTATATACATGTATAGGTACATAAAAACGCAAGGACATCTATTATTAGCTAGGGAAAAAAAATACCAGCTTTCAGTACAACAGACCTCCTCTACTTTCCTGTGAAGGGCAGTTGTCGAAAACCTTGCCAACTATTTTCCTAACCATATTTTTGGAAACCAACCTAACACGTGACATTGGTCACAAATCTCTTATAACTGTCAACATAAACATCTATTTTTGGATGAGTGTTTGTGTGAACACGCATATATAAAATAAATACATGATATTTCATGGGAGCCAGGTATTTATAATTATTTAGTACATTTGGTATTCACACCATTTTTATAGCGCAAGGCCATTACGAAGGCACTATGTTTCACAATGTCGCTGTGTGTAATCCCAATTGAGTAATTTTGTATATTTGGACAATGAGACTGGCACACAATGACCTACTCTTTTTGGAATGAAATCACAGGATTTTTAATGTCCACTGAAGCAGAAGTCGTGTACTTTCACAGTTAATATGGTTGTGGTAATAACCAGGGCAGTCAGCTGGATTCGAACCATGACCTGCAATAATCGGAGAACACACAACCGCTGGGCCAGGTCACCGCCTTATTTAAAATCCCATTGGTATCAAGGCATGGTTAAAGTGATAAATATTGATACGTACAGCCCTTGTGTCAACCCACTGCAAGATGAGAGCCTCTCCATGTCACGTGGGTTGTGGGGGTTATTTAACCATACTTCACCACATTAATCAGTGTGGGTTGGATGGGAGCATAGAAGTACAGTACAGTGTGTTTGCAGCACTGATTTCCGATGTCCTCCACCTTTTTACGTGTATCTGTTACGCTTTGAAGTTAATATAACAGTTATATACAAGTAGCATTAATAGTAGGTTTTCAATAACTTTGCTTTGAGTAAGCTAGCTCTCATTAGAAATAACTAATGCTACAGTGGTTTTCGTCCAAGTGACATTGGCACATGAGCTGATATTGCCCTCAGATCTCATAATCTTTGGGGTCATCGGGACCTGACCCAGCACGGAATAGCAAGGACTCAGGAAAAGGAGATGGAAAATGGCAAGAGCAGTAAATACAGGAGGGACAGATGCAAAGGACAGTTTGGAAGAGTAAAAGCGCAGCGCAGAGACAACGAACGCAAAAGTAAAAGGGAGTAAAGTTTGAGGTGAGGGACAGCACAGGGACAGGACAGAGAAGAACAGCAGAGTCCAGCTATCCGCCTGGCGGTACCCTCTCAGAAAATGACGTCATCATCGGGCAAGCAGATCGACGGTTCCACTAAACCGGCCTTTTTCAATAAACTTTTCCTGTCAATGACAAAAAATAATTCCACTCTAACTTCTATGCAACAACAGCCATGGCTTTATACATTATTAATAGCCCTAAACACTCAGCGACTGGAGAAAGTGTAATCGGTGAATGGCTGCCAGAGACTCCAATCCGCCAAACAATGGATGTTAGTAATGAACGAATGAACCAGACGGTTCCCGCATGGCAGCGGGTGCAAGAGATGGTGGCGATCACGACGCTGCCGACCTTGCCGATCCCTCGCACCACGTCGGCGAGGCGGTTCTCGTGCCGCGTGGGGACACTGTCCTCGCGGACGCTGGTCGACGCCCCGGGCAGTGGGGGGAACTCGGACGCGGCCAACTCGAGCCGCGGGGACTCGGGGGGCACAAGGGGCACAGGCGGCTGCGGACATTTCTGTTCCGAGCACAAAAATGAACGGCAAAATAAGTGGATTTTTAACATTGTAGGTTATTCACAGCCGCTCGTAATCAAAGTGTGGTCTCTCTTCACGGTTTGGGAATGTGTTGAGAGAACATTTTCAAATCCTGAAGGTGCCCCGCAGTAGCGCGTGGAAAAGGTTAATAGAAGAAATGCAGCTTAACCCAGACGACCACACTTTGATGACCAGTAGCTGCAACTCTGCACTCTACAACATTTAATCATGATGTTATAATCAGGAAAACTACGTGAAGGTTTTTCATGATCTTATTAAGTAATACTTTTATTTTCATGTTAAAAAAAATAAAATTATAACCATAGTTTGCACTAATATTGATCTATTTTAAATAACCAAGCCAAATTAAACCCCCCAACACCACAAACACAATCTGTTTAATTGGGCAATACACACTAATGAATGGCACTTATTTCTACAGATATTGTTATTTACACTGAAGAATGCCCATGTTGACATTAAGGCAAAGGTTATTGTGCCAAGGTAACCAAAGGGTTAAGAGAGGACCACATACCACAGTTCGCTCATCGTCTCTTCTCCTCCTCCCTCGGAAACCTTTCCTGTGTGTGGAACACAAACACCTCCAGTCAACAAAGGCACCCACACACACACACCCAAGCAATGTGTAAGAGCTAAAAACATGTTAGTATGCAGAACCTTTAAGGAGAAAATATTTCCATTGCCCTCAGATCTCATAATCATTGTGGTCATCGGGACCAGACCCAGGAGGATACAGTAAGAGCTCAGAGGAAATGGTGAAAAGGACAGAAAAGAAAACAGGGCAGGATAGTCGAGACAAGATGAAAAAGGAAAGCAATGAGATATAAGGAAAAGGGAATATGGAAGAGAATAAAGGTAGAAAAGGCACAGTGAAGGATAGCAACGTAGGAAGGGGACAGAAGGGAAAATGAGCTAAACTGTCCTCCTGGCGAAATCCCTCCAGGAAAATGTTCTCATCATTGGGCAAATTTACAGGTTGTGTTTTGTCTTTTAGAAACAAAAACGCTAACATATATTGTGTTGAATGATAACAATGTCATTAGATAAGGCATGTGATGACTCACACCCCCAGCAAACTGATGAACTGTCACAATTCGGGGTGACAATTTTAGTTCAGAAATGTCTTTTCTGCCTATATGTTACAGTTTTAGTTGTAGCTTGAAATTTTTTTACCGTCTCATTTCCAGTTGTTTTGTTCTACCAAATAAATGTAATGGTCAAATTTTGAAAGGCCCATTTGCCGATCAATTAGTGGTGAAGCGCTCTGCATGTGTTGTCAGTTACAGGGGTTCATTGTCCATACTTCACACTGGTCAGTGTAGGTTGATGAAGGAATGCCCAGGACAAGTTTCAAATATCACTCACCACTGATGTTAACCGTGGTTGGAAATTTAACTAAAATCACCATGTTTGAAGTGTAGTGTGCTAACCATTACACTGCCTCCACAACCACTATCTTTATATTTGCATATATCGAACACTATCATTTTCACACGCACAATTAAATGCACATATTGTGAACGTAAGAAGCGATTTTAGAACGCATCTTTTAGCTATACACCGTTTACTTAATGAGGTATTGTTTTCTGGAATCCCGGGGGGGGGGGGGTTATTTTTGGCTATACGGAGTTTGACGTTGTAAAGATTGTTGTTAGAAAGGCTTGCGAGAGGTGAGCCCAACGCATTATTTTCTAGAAACGTAACCCACACGTTCGGCAAGGATATCCTGCACTAGCATGTTAAAAATTCAAGCTGTCAAACTGAAAAAAGGCAAAGAAAAACGAACAAACCTTCCTCTGGAGGCGAGTAGTGCTGGGTCTCCGCCGTTCACTTCGACATCTCGCCTCACAAAGGGGACATCCGACGGCTGCGTTCGACTGCCCAGGAACGGTTGCTCTGGCGCATGAGGCCTGTAGCTGCTGCCTCCGCCACTCACGCCACTGGTGATGCTACTGCTGCTGCTGCTGCCGCCACCCACACCACTGCCCACAGTGCTGCCCGTAGGCCGGCGCTGCCCGGCATTAGCCCCTCCTCGTGGGGCACCATTGGTTGCCGGCCTGTCGACGAGGTGCACGCTGTTCATCGGCACAAAGGAAACTGCGTCCGGGATCACCTTGTCGTGTTGGCTATGGTGGCTCCTTCCTTGGGACTTTCCTCCTCCCCTAGTGGAGTGACAAAATGTGCACATACTTTTTTAATGAAAATACATTTGCTTAAGCTTTTATTGTGTTTCACTCTGCGCTCCAATATTATGTTACTCATTCCAAATTATACTAGATTTTATATGGCACTAAATGACAAAAACAAATTGGCATTGAATTCAATGTAATATCTTCCAAATTTCAAGGAAGATGGATGCCAAAAAAACATTGCAGCTATGTACTTAGGCCTTGTATCCAACAATAGCTTGAAACGTTCTTACAGCAGGCGAAAATACTTTCCAATCATAGCCAGGCACACTGGCCCGAGCACTCTTGTGACATCACTACATCGTTGTATTAAAACATATGGAGGGTATCAGTGCCTGCACCCAATGAGTAATTCAGTTTATCAGAACGTTAACATTTTTTTTCCTTCATGAACAAAGCTTCAAACTTGTGTCAGACAGCCTTGGACATAGGAGCCTCAGTGTTTACTTACAAAAGCTATCACTCTCTTTTGGTCATGTCTTTTTCAAAAGCCTTTGGTGGGGGGGGGGGGGGGGCGTGTGCATTACCTGCTCCTGCCTGTGTATGGCCGATGCTGCAGTGCCTGCATGTGCTTGTAGTGGCCAGTGGCAGGGAAGCTACTCAGGAAGGCAGTGCTTGGAAAAGTGCCCTGTCAGCATGACACAGCACACAAACAAAGTCAACTCAAACACACTAGACTTGTGATCTGCAAAATACCCATTTTCTCCAAAATAATAAGCACAGAACCTTGATTAATGCTGTTTTTCCAAACAAGTCAACAAATATAATAAATTAGTGCTCACTAAGCACTAATTAATTGTAGTGTTGTGTAAAAGTTAAGTTCGATGCCGATTTTGGATCAAGATGTGGCAGCCCACCGTTACGAGCTGCGTGCCATCGTAGTAGCCAAGTGACGAGGACCAGGGTTGGGACAGCATGCTGTAGAAGGGGTATGGTGGCTGCTGCTGCTGCTGCTGTTGTGCCGGGCTGTAATGCACAGGCTGCATGTAGACGGCAGCGGGCTGGAACTGCTGCTGGTGAAAGCCGCCCACTTCCAGTGGTTGCTGACCATTCTTGGGGATGAATGCAGTGATACCCATCGACTTGGCCTTAATGCGTGCCTGAGCACAAAACACATGAAAGAGCAGAAATAGACATACATGTAAAAACAAAAACATCATCTCTAACTTTTTGTGAAATAACGTATCAGAGTGCGGTTTGATTAACAACTATTTAATATGTTTGGAAGGCTAGCATTTAAATCAACATCAAATATACAAGTACAGCCCCTTTAACAGTCCATTGCTGGATGAACGTATCCCATGCTGTGCGAGTCATGGGATTTTTATTTAACCATACTTCACAGCAGATGTTAGTCAGTGTAGGTTGATATAGAAACACATAGCCAGTTTAGATAATAACTCGCTACTGATGGTAGTGATCTAACCACGACGTCATTGCTCCATTGCTCCATGTTAGGAGGCCAGCACTCAACTGATAAAACACCTATGGTTAGAATCTAGATTTGAAGTTTTCGTGACTGCAGGGATCCATACTCTTTGGTTCTTTCGGTAAAGCCACGTAGGTATAAAATACAATAAATCACGACGTTTCGGGCGCAACACAAGCGTCGTCATCAGGTGGGACAACCACAGCAATTGTTTTCTTGCTGTGGTTGTCCCACCTGATGACGGATGCTTGTGTTGCGCCCGAAACGTCGTGATTTAATTTATTTTATACCTACGTGACTTTACCGGCAGAACCAAAGAGCACCTATGGTTCGGTCTCTTAATGGGAAGCTCTCACCACATAACACACACACACACCAAAAGATGGATCTTAAAGCAATGTTCTAATTTTATTAAATTTTTCAAATTAAGATAATCATGCCGTCTAATCCATATTGGGCTATATAATACAATGAAAAATTCCAGTAACAAGAACACATTTACGCACCATGATAGGCTTTCCCAAGAATGTCTTGGCTTCCTCTCTTAAGTACTTGTAAGCCTGCAGTGGAAAATGTAAATTCAATCATACAAGCACTGTCTTGTGCATGCAATGTCAATGTTACAAAAGGCAGGTGTAGCAACATTTAAATTGAAAACCCGATGGCATCATTCATTCTGGCCATCATACACCAGCATCGCAGCCTTATACTGAAAGAACAAAATACAACCAAGTTATCAAAACAATGCGATTAGAGTTAAGGCATGCTAAGTAACACACCTCTTTGTTCTCATGGTATATGTTGCCAACAAGGGCGACTGTAGTGTTATGCCAAATGGTTGAACTATGCCAAAAGGCGTCATCTGGTCCAACACCAGTGGAGACTAGGCTCTAAGAAAAGCCGTCTCTCGGGTGTGGACCAATCAATTTCAAGGACAGTGCATATCATTATCAGAGTTGTCTCTTTTTGTTTGCATTTTGACTGCTTGTGTTATGGTTATTGCAAACATGATCCCTTGTATAAAGGTGTCAATTTTGGTGCCAGATAAAAGGGTAAAAACCCATTACTACATCTTGCTACTGGCAAAGGAGGTCTCAATGTATATGCTGATGTAATCAAGTAGTTGAAAGTGGGACACTGAAAATGAGGAGTGTGGAGAGGGCACATTGGCTCACTGGGAGCCCTCACCTGCTGCGCATCTGCATCCGATTCAAACGTAACGTACCAACTGTCATTGTGAGCAAACTCGCAGCTCACAAACCTGGGGCAGTTCTCGCTCTTAAAGAGACTTTCCACCTCCTGAATAAGCATCCAAAGAGTCAAGACATAAAACAGCAGGGCTAATCAGATCCTCGTTAACATAAGGAATGACACGTTTCAAACAGTAATGAATTTCATGAATTTGCTAAGTAAACTAGAATGAAAATATATATATTTAAGCTTTTGAAAAACTAATTCATCATGTGGGCAATTTTTTTTTAAATTAAAAACAATGTACAAACACTTTGTGTTCCGAGGATTAACAATGTTACCATAACACACATTTACACACACACACACGCGCACAAAAACATACAAGCATGGCCAACAGAAAATCGTGAACCGCAAGGTGAATTATTAACCATTCCATTAACTAAAAGCAACCTGAAATATGCCATATCAGGAGCAGGTGCTCTACAATAGCCTCTTCCATCTAAATCATGTCAAGGTGCCAGAGAAAAGATCAGCGTGCTCGCCTACCTCTATGGGCGTGCTCTCTGGGACCTCTCGCAGGATCACGATGCAACGCTTGTGGTTGGGTCGCACTTTCTCCCCTTTCTCGTCCACTTGCACCAGTGGCGAGGCTGAGGAATGCAACAACAAAAAACACAACAATCATGTAAACAGAAACCTATACATTATAAGCTAACATTGGTCAAGTCAAATTAGAAAACGGGTGATGTTTTGTTAGTGTTGACATGCTCCTCATCTGGTTAAATATGACTGACTACCTGTGGCAGAGGAGAAAACTGAGCAGAGTAGAGCAACTATTAGAATTAGGAAATATCTAGACCTAAGCAGTGGTGCCTTTTAGAAAAATTCTGTTCAAGTATTCAATAGCGATTGCTCTTTACCACATTTCCATGTTTCCTGCAGACTGTTAAATTAAAATAACAAAGAATTTTAAAGGTCATAGAATAAAAAAAATCAATCCATAAAAACCTTTGAATTTGTTCCAAAAGCATTTGGGAGTGCTGCCCTGCTGTTCAAATGTCACACAAGCTTTTTGCAAAGCAGTGTTTTGTGGAATATTTGTGGATCCAGATTATCACTCTAAAAACTTGGCTATAATTTCCACACATCATTCCACCAAAATGAAGATCTTAGCAGTGTTATATCAACATTTAATTATTTTAGCTATTTTTTTATCAACTGTTTATATAGCTTACACATTCAGAGTCCTATATATTTTAATCTGTGTATTAAAATTGTGCATTATTTCACAACCTATTGGCATATTATCCAAAGATGTAAAGTTAATATGCTTGCAACAATGGTGAATAATTTAATAGACTGATTATAATAGCAGCAATTAAATGTTTTGTAAATTATCTATGTGCCCCTTTGCCAGTATGGAAATGATGGAAAAATGAAATGTGTCCATTTGGTGTTCAAAATCTTAAGTATTATTGCCGGAAAGGGTAAAGCCTATTATATTTTCATTGTTTTGTAAAAGGACATCAGTGTTCTTGATAAAAAAACATTAAAAAGCCACCTTTTTGTAAGAGCAGATGTCAAAAACATGTTTTAAAAATAATATAACAAAATTTGAATGTATATAGCACATACATGCCACCACAGTCCAAAATACAGAACAGAAACGCTGGGCAGACAGGCACGAATGGTATAAAGCCTGGATTTTTTGCACAGTACTTAATTATCAATGGCTCAACTACCCTTCCAAAAGGCATTATTTACCACTAGCCTTTTGCCCGTCCTTGGATGTATTATATTTGCAAAAAAATTGAGCAGAGTATAATTGTATCTTGTGTACATTTAATGGTAGTGAATCTTGCACGAAAGTATGCCATCAAACACTTCACTGCATTTCACTGTAGCACTGTATTAATGCCATTGATTCATGCACGAAACTATGTCACCACGGGCAGAATGAACATGCAAATTCCAAATATACAGCAGGCGCCAGTCGGGATCAAACCCACAACCTCCTGTATACCAGGCAAGGTAGTTAACATCTAGCTGGGGAGAGCAGGGCCATCAGTTGCATTGACACCACTTCCCAAATGTAATATTTTCCAGCAGGTCACGCAGCAGCAAAGTCAACATTAGTGCCTTTCAATTGTAAAGGAAAACACGAGGGGGGGGGGGGTTACAACCAGTGCCGTGCCAGGCTGGAAGACGCATAAGGAAAACTTACACTTGAGCACTTCCACGATGAGATCTGTGTCGGCAGTTAGCCTCTTGACCTGGTTGAAGTTGGCGATTGTCCAGATGGGCACATAGTGGTCACTGTCCATCTGGGACACTAGGTACATGTCGTTGGCCAGGTTCTCTCTGCAAGCACAGATGCACGTTGAAAATCCCTTGCACATCACCGGTGGCATTAAAATTGCAAGTGCTGATGCCGGTGTCATTCGCGAAGGCACAAAGGCAGAAATCGGATACTCAATGGATACATCAGCAAGTTTGGAAGGCATAGCTGTGCCCCTCTGTTACTACAATCTATCAAACTTCAACATTTCAATGTACTTTTAAGCAGTTAAAACAATCACCTTGAGAAGTAGTATTCCAGCTGTTTTCTCAAAATTTCCTTCAGTTCTTCGGGCTTCATTGTTTGTGTTTCTGATTGCCCTACATCACCTGCACACAAGCATGCATAAAAACACAACAATGTTTTGATCTTATTCACATTAAACACACGAAAAAGTTGAGTGTTTATGGGTGCATGTTAAAAAAAAGACATCCTGACATTCTTTATTTAAACTTAAGATTAAAATTTATAATTTGATTGAGATATTTACTGTGCACGATTTTAATGAAAGTAAACGAAGGCAACAATGAGTGGCGTAAGGGACAGTGCTGTATCGGTAAACACATGCAGGACCAACCTATTGTATTATTATGTAACTGTTCAGTCAAGTCATCAGAAACAGACAATCATGAGCATTGAAAACCTTTGCATTGTAGGAGCAGTAACAAGGCAATTCTTAAAACTCGCTGCAATGACTAAAAATCCACTTAGCACTCGAGCAGGCGAGGACAGTATTGCCAATGAGCAAAACCCATGACTGCAGGGAAACTTAGTGGCTCTGGGGGTCCTCTGAGTGACACGTGGCAGGCATAACATACAGGCAATCCTTTCACCATTAATCAGCTTGTGCAAGGGTCAATGAATCAGCCAAAAGCAATTTTGGCTCAAGAAACATTTACGACTGAATGAAAAGCAATGCGAACAAGCTCAAAGGTGGCTGTAGTCTCAACATGATGCTTCCACTCGGGACCACAAAGACCCAAGATCAATACTGTGTGATGGAGGATGTTAGGTGTTCTGGCATGGGTTCACATACCGGTGAGGGGACATGTGGGGTTTTCCCCAACCAAGCTGGGCGGTTCCTTGCCCGCACCGTTGACCACAGGGACCTGAAGCCCATCCTCCGCCTCTGGAGCTTCCCCATCACCGCTGGCACTCTCCATCACGACATACGGCTTGCCCTCGGGGATGTGTTCGTCTTGGGGCGTCGGTGAGGTTGGGGTCAGCGGCTCGGGGGGCAGCACGGGCTCTACCTCGGTCGAAGCGCCGAACGTGGCTTCACCCTCTTCACCGTTGCTCCCGGAGTAAACTACAATGGGCGCGCACATCGTTACAACACTTTACTCATTTGCTTAACAAGAACGCTTGCTACCAAGTGCAGTGTGATGTGTAGCCATCAATGTATAGTTATTATGCGCATTGCAATGATTTAACTGAAAAAAAATCTCGATTTAAAGCTTTCGTGACTGCAGGGATTCATCTTCTAGGTTCTTTCGGTAAAGTCACGTAGAAGGGAAGTAATAAAATGAATTAATTCTTCACCTGAGGACGGCTGCTTGCGTTGTGGCCGAAACGTCGTGAGAATTATTATTTTTTTTTTTCATTTTATTACTTCCCTTCTATGTGACTTTACCGAAAGAACCAAGAAGATGAAAAAAAATCCTCCACTGCTCAATCATGCAAAAAAGGATTTTACAAAGTGTGTAACTATTTCATTTGTAATGAGAGATAACTAAATATGTTGTGCGGTAGGCATATAATGATGTATTGGATTTATTGATTAAAACTAATCCTGATGATCGTATTACATGCATCAAATTATCGCTGGGCAACCACCAATGGGGTGATATAGGCTGCTGTGGTGCTATGTGGTAGGCAATTAGAGTCCAGCAAAAGCCATCATTGTACTACTGCATTGAATAGCTCCCAGGTCTATGCTCTGCATCTTCATCAACTCCCACCGACCTCCGTAAAGCAAGGTAAAATAACCCCCTCGACCCACTTGACATTGGAGGGCGCTCATCCAATGGTGGATTGGCAAAAGGTTATTGTTATTTTCATGTTCAACCAGCACCTGAGCAGTGGCATTGTTTTAATCATGTTCAACTAAACTGTATACACGAGTATCAGCGAATCATATTGTATATCCATTCAGTGCACTGTACATCCAGGCATGTGTGTGTGTGTGCGCATACGTGCATGTGTACGAGTGTGCATGCCTTCAGAGTAGGGTAGAGGCTCTGGGTCGGGCCAGTCCCCATTCACGGCTCTGCCTGGAGCAAAGGCGATGTCAGCGCTGGGCGCCGGGCTCTTCCAGGATGCAGCATTAGGGTTCAGGACAGCGCCCTCCACCATGAGCTGTGTTGCCACATTGGGAGCAGTGTTTATTTTCTATAAAAAACATATGAGAACTCAGCAGATTTTTTTGTATTCTAGTCAACGATGACTATGAGTGTATGACAATGACTACCAGCAAAGACCAAAGCATGTCTGACTATAATGAGATAAGAATAACGAGTCTGAATTATGACAAAGATAACTTCGTAGCATTATTAAAGATGGCAGCCCCCTACCGAGTTCACTGGTTGGCTGACAAGATAATATCAACACCAACATTTAATAACTATGGATTGACAAAATGCTTGACTGCTTTAGTCGCCTAGCAAAGAGAATGACTAAATGAAATCCACAAAGATGTTGCTAAACATCTATAGGTTGTCATCGACTGGACAATGACCACATTTAAAAAGACGCCGACTAAATTAGCATGGGTTGGTACACGGCAAAGCCCGAGTAAGCATAAGCAGCATAACTATTTCACGGCTTATCAATTCGGCTAGCTTGGTGGTATTGTGACACACAACCACTCTTCACTTTTCTAGCAGCACCCCATGATTAAGCAAATCTCATGAGCAAGACAACAAAAGTAGAAAAATTCGGTAAAAGTTAATCACGAGAGATTTCTTTTCATGTAATCAAAAGTGAGTTTCTTGGCTACAGCCCCAAACAGTTACACAATGCTTTAAAGTAAAACGGTGTTTGTAAAAATAACAATTAATTTACAGCAAATTTTGAGTTGCTCTTAAAAAAATGTTGGATTCAGTTTCATACCACAACTTTTTATGTACAGATGCTCCCCAAATATATTGACAAAAACTACAACATTTAGTTTAATTTATGTGGAGAAAACTCGACGCTTTAGAATGTGTAAAACAGCACACGTTCTAAGACACTCCAACAACCCCACTAACAAGCAGTTTCTACACATGAAAACAAAACCCATTCTTTACTGCAAATGGTATGACGCCAACTTAAAACCCCTAGTTGCACAAAAAAGTAAAGCAACACCCTTTAACAGCACACTGGATCATCATACTGGTTTACAAATGCATTCATAAATTACTAAAAATAGTGGAATTCTAAGCAGCTTAACGGTACAATGCTACGTATATTTTACGTAAAGCACACAACCACTCACCGTAACAGTCCCCCCACAGACATGGACACAAGAGAAAAATAAACACGCAAGTTATCCAAACATAATCAATTAACTATTCATGTGCCAAGCCGCTCCCTCAACTAGCGTTCAAGCATAAACCATACACCTAATGTGTTACAACATGTCCTGACAAATACTTCTTTACCGTATATGGACAGGCCATAGCTAGCAGAAGCGAGACTGTCTGGCAGCCAAGGAACCCCACTTACAAATATACAAGTCCCCCTTTTCTTTCAGATGCAACTAAAACGAATTATCCCGACACCGAATTAGACCCTCAAGAGTGCATTAACTTCTCCAAGTACTTTGATACAGCAGAGAACAAAACACATATACTCCGTTCCGGGTCTGTGGTTGGGTACTCGGTGTAGACACAGGCAGCCATGGAGCCAGTGTGAACAACACATGGACATGGCAAGTGTCTAAATAAAGCCACTTTCTCATGGTAGCCCGTGTATAAATATAGCAAGCGGCGTCAGGAAATTCTGCACGTATTGCTAGTACGGTTGTACTTTTATGGGGCGCACAGGCATGGGGGAGACGTGAGTCTATTCAGCACTTTGCTGTCATCAGGTTGTCCTCAGAAATAAAAAGAAAACATCTGTACGTGGAACTGTAATCTCACAAAATGACAACCCGCATTCGAACGAATGCTTTCACTAGCACTTTGATGCAACAAGCTGCAGCAATGTATGCATGTACGTTGAACTTATTTTGCACTGTATATAGCCAACCTTGCTAATAGGTGTGGGAAAGCACTAAGAAAGACTTGATACCAAACGTAAAAAATAACTAAACCTACGTATTACGACCACTGTTTCATAATTATAATTTTTTAGAATGCAAGTCGTCTAAAAAGTAAGCATTGATTTAAACCTTAAAAAAACATCTACGGCTCTAAAATAATACATTAATCAACCTTAAGATACGAAGCAATAACAACTTTCACTGTACAAAATATTGCATAAAACAGTTTAGGTGCAAAACACTAAAAAAATACTAACAGCATCAACTTGAAGAGGTGGGACGTTGGAATACATCCAGCTCCACATTCCTGATTCAGGAATACTGCCGCTATATGCCAGAGGCCCGTGCATGCCGCTGGGCACGGTGATGGTCTCCGACTGGCCCATTGGAGAGCCGGCAGCCATGTAGAACATAGGGGACATTTGAAGCAGACTGCTGGCCAAGTCACCAGCCAGCCCACCTGCAGGAATGTACTCAGTTTCTGAAACCTCCACGATCACTTGGCCCTCAGGTGTGGACTGGATGATCGAAGGGAAGCTTGCTTCCCCTACGGGCATTGTGTCAAACAGTTTGAACATGTTGGAGAAGTGTGGGTCGTTGCTGTCAGTCGGAGTTGCTTTGTCAAATGTGGGCATAGGAATTACAGTGTTGCTGCCTTCTGGAAATACTGGCACTTCAAAGCAAGCAGCATCTGTGTTATGCTCTTTACTTTCACAGCTGAATGTATCATGGTAATAAGCAGCACAATGCTGTCTGCTGGGTTGTCCAACTTTGCGGGAGTTTGCAGACAATTTAATGGAAGAAATGCCTGATATCTCATAAGATGGCGTCGCAGCATACTTATCAATTTGATTTTGCTCCACAAATTGATCCACATGTGTCTCGGCAGAGACTGGCATCCGTGTCACAGGATTAATGGTCTGTGATGTAACACTGGCATCTATTGAATGCAGTTCACTCCCATTCAAATAATTATCATCTTGTAAATGCTGCACAGGCTCCAACCACTGCTTGGCTGTTTCTTCAGATGAGTTGGCAACAGCAGCAGCTGACTTCAGTTTCCAGTCATCATGTGGCTTTTCATCCGATACAACTCCTGCATCACCATCTGACCATTGAACACTGTTTGGAGATGTTGAAGATGAGCATACACTGTACTCCTGTGCTGTATCAAAATTTGCTGGAATATTTTCAGGATGTTCCAAACAATCGGCTTCTAGTTGCTGTCCATCACAATATAATGTACGATTAGGAGAATCCAGAACATTTGCTGGCACTGTCCCATCACACACAGTCTCATGATCCGCATTCAACTCTTCAGACAATTCCAGGCTGCACAAGTTAATTTCATCAGCTTTCGATGTTAAAATGTTGTCCGATGGCACCTTCGGAATCTTTCCTTCTAAATTAGTTACTCCGCGTAATTTTCCATTGCTGGAATAATTTACTGCATCACAGTTAAGGACGGAACACATGTCTTCCTGCATAGGTTCACTACACAGCACCAACGATATGCGCCGAGATGACAGCAGTTCACAGTCTTTGTGAGAAACAAACTGGAGTGCCAGCTCACCACAATGCAACAGGGACCCATCATCACCATTTATCAGGCTCTCTGAAGAGAAAGGCAACTCTGTCATGGCAGCTGCACTCGGAATTATGCAAACACTCTCGCCAACGTCAGTACTCACTTGCAAAGAATCACCAGAATAACCGACCACCAATTGTTGCTCTCCTACCTCACTGCAGCTTCGGTCTTCAATCGTAACCTTCACCAATGGATCACCATGCACGGCTTTTACAGGAGAGGCATCGCAGCCGACTTCTTCACACCGTAATCCCCCTGCGGCTAATAGATTTTCATCCGAGAGCACCGGCATGCAGCTTGCATTGTCGGGGCTCTGCGCTGCTTCCACGTTGCAGTAAAACGATGAATGGCTGACGTGTTCCGCCGTCACCTCGGCAACGGGCTTGACATCACGGTGCGTGGTGCTGATGCAGTCCTGCTCTGCTGAACCGCCGTCTGGATGCGTTGCACTACCGTCACTGCTGACGTCCCTCTGTTTTGGAATCGCGACGCTGCTTCGTTCATTCATCTCGTCTTCCTGCACCATGGCAACCGGGCATGAAGGTGCAGTAGCCCATTTATTACATTTTCTGTCGAGATATGCGTGCGTGGGTAGCGTGTCTTGGCAACCGAAATCCAAGTCCAGGCAATCAGTGCCAACTTGATTAGCAACACCGTTGCCAATGGAAAACAAAGCTAATTCACCATGCTGACCATCAGAGCTATTACAATGTGACTGAAATAATAGTTTTGTAATGCAGCTCTCTTCGAATGCATGCTGTTCAGATGCCACCTCTTGGGTCGGGCATTTTGTCTCAGTTGCTTTTGTAGAAATGTCACATTCTGAATAATGCAAGTCACGGCTGCATTTCTGCATTAGATTAAGAGGTATTGGCAACGGGGGTGCCTCATTTAAGAATGCATCAGCATTTGTATCTTCTTCAACTGCATCTTCATCGCTTTTTAAATGACCAACAGCACTAGTGTTGTCAACATTACATAATAGTCTCTCCATTGAGTTTCCTTGGAGTGTATCTGACTCTTGAAAATCACAATGAGGTTCACTAGCTTTAATAGTCTCAGCACATATGCATAACATTTGTGAATCACTCAACAATGGAGATGACCCACATTCAGCTGGTGAAACAAAGACTCCAGTCATTAGCGTAGAATTTCTAGAACAGGACACATGCCTCTCCTGTTCAAAAACATAATCAAGGGATCCATTTACATTCCCTTTGGCCTCAGTCAAGTGGAGACCATTTAACATATTTGCATCACAGGAATGCCCTACAGATAATTCTGAAGAGGCATCAGGTCCATCTTTACCGAGAATCAACTTACTGTTGATGCAGAACTGGTCAGTTTCCAGTATTTCCGTAGGCTTGGTTTGCGTTTCTCTCGACTGTTCGTTATCGGCAAGCACTGTACAACACGGAGGCTCAACGACAACAAGCTGTGTCCACGTTGGAGAACACCGCCGTATGTCTGCATTGTTGACAATCTTCCTGTTTTTTAAACAGAGTCTTCCTTTTTTTTTCCACGAATGACAATGGCATGATCTTCCACAGCCGATCACGGAGCACAAGAAGGCAGTGCCACTCGCTGAGAAACAGCTGCACCTGTTTCCCATCCAATACGTGGCCTTCGGCGCTCGTCTGGAACTTGGGCCACAGCACATCCAGGGGCTGTGCCAGCAGCAGCGTCCTCGTCTCCTTCAGCCACGATGCGAGGGTGACATCGGCGCAACTGCGGCTGGCGTTACGCAAGCCGCGTACAACCGTGGAGGGCGCTTTGGGCCGGCCGGTGGACTCACCCGTCGATGGCGACGTGTTAAGCCCTCTCCGTCCAATTCCGTCGAGTTCGCTGTCCGCAGCGCGACTTTCTTCCTCCACCTCGCACCACTTGGCCAAAGCGAGAGTCAGGTTTGACCTGACACCATCTTCCAAGGCCTCAGCCAGGCTCGACATCGGGTTAATGACCCCTGATGTGACTGCAGGGGTGTCGTATTTCCCTTCATTTTCAAGAAGTGGTTTTGTTTCATTAATATCCTGACGTTTCTCTTTACTGAAACAGCAGCCCATATCTGCGTTGTTGCATCAACTCCACAACGTCCAAACTAACAAGCCCCACCACGAGACAGTGAATACTGTTTCAGACAACCACGTGGTGTAGGACACTTGACACCAAATCCCAAAATAGTGTGGAGCAGAAACAGCTGCAATCTCACACGTGCCCATATCAGTCACTTTACAAGATTCTGGAAACATTATTTGAAAAAAAATGTTGATCATATGCATGTCCAATATACCTACAATTTAAATAACGTTTGACTGCTCAAGGTCATTTGTGTGATGTTTGTCAACCAATATTCATGTTTTGTTCCTAGTTACAAAGCATGTGCATATAATTTAAAAATAAATATCACAATAGATAAAATAGAAACGCATTCATCTCCTTCAAATTTGGACATTCAAACTAATTAATGGTAACCTCTAACCCTCATAAAAACTTCTAAACCTTAAGACGCTTCAGTCTGTGGGTAGGAATGTGATGAGTGTAACCTTTGTAATCATAAATTAAGTTCACATTTGAACATTACTGTCAGAAAGAAAACTACATGACTGTAAAATTAGAATGCTATTCTCTAATTCTAAAAATCAAGCTTCAATAACATGGTTACATTTTTACTGAAAACCAGTTACTGACATTGTGTATCAGATACACTTTTCACAAAAATACATTGTGTAAAAAAAACCTTTTCAACGGTCACATTCCAGTGCTAGATTCTGAGACTCAAAAAAAAGATTTCCCTAAGCCACCAGCTGAGCATGCAGTTGTTGCACTCTGCCATCAGCAGACAGGTGTGACCTCAAGTTAATTAAGCAAACAGTCCAAGTGTAATTCAGTGAAGCCAATATACAAAGCAAATACATTAACTAAAATCTAATACACTTGTAAAAATCTACGTGTAATCAATTACTTTGCCAAACACACAAAGCTACCATCACTGTAAACCATGAATCCCTGAAGGTGGTTTCATATTTGACCAAAACGAGTTAAACAATAGCAGGTTATTAAACTTGGCAGTGTGTAATTACACCTTATTGGATAAGGGGAAATAAATATGGATCAGGTGTGCCATTCATTGTACAGATAGTCCCCGAGTTACGATGGTCCGATTTACAATATTTCGATCTTACGATGGCGATAACGATGCGACAAAATTGTAAAATATTTCAAATTTCGTGCGGCAGGCAAACGCAGCAGCGTATGAATATTGGCGAGTACAGTACAATATGATACGTTACGATACATTCAATGCATGTATGATACGTAGCTTTAGCGATTTCATTTTAGGATTACCACAATACGATACGTTCAATGCATGTTAAAAGTTTTTATAGGTTAGATAGGATTGTTTCCTGAAAAAACTTTCTATTAAATTGCAGTTCATATAGGTAGAATAAGAATTTACCTTGTTTTTTACTTTACATTTTACTGTGCAATGCAGTATTGTAATTAATAAATACATACTGTATATAATAATATACAGTACGGTACTGTAAATTGCTCTGTTTTGCTAAATTATCACCATTTCTTAAGACTCCTGGGTAGGCTAGGCCATCTTCGACTTACGATATCTTTGACTTACGATGGGGTCGTCGTAATGCATCTCCATCGTAAGTAGAGGACTACCTGTATTAAACAGTAATAAGAGAGATTTCCAACTTGAGCAGACAAACTCAGACACAGATATCCACCATATAGTCGTATAGATTGTTTGGGCAAGTGGTGTGATAGAAGTGGATCTTAAGACGAGCCAAGTGCACTCATGGATGGTATAAAGCAGTGGTTCTTAACCTGGGTTCGATTGAACCCCAGGGGTTCGGTGAGTCAGTCTCAGGGGTTCGGCGGAGGTTAAGACACACACCCGACTCATATGATTGTGCACCAGTAAAACATATACCTATGTTTTGAATTTGAAAAAAATAACATTTTATTTTTCCAATTAAGAAGGGTTCGGTGAATGCGCATATGAAACTGGTGGGGTTCAATACCTCCAACAAGGTTAAGAACCACTGGTATAAAGAGATCCACGTCTGGCTCCTTTCTGCTGACCAGGTAATCATTGGCAGTGGGGAAGAGTCCTGAACAGGATTAGTTACTATATACCACTGGTATTATCCTGTACAAGAAATTCAACCTAGGTTCATAAGAAAATTACTATTGCGACAACCACCCACAAGTGTCGACACCTCAATGAAACTACATTTACACATTTTTCGATTTAAAGCTTTCGTGACTGCAGGTGAAAACCAGGTCCGTCGAGGCGACAGAGTCTGTCGCCTCGACGGACCTGGTTTTCACCTGAGGACGGCTGCTTGCGTTGTGGCCGAAACGTCGTGAGAATTGTTTTATTATGTTTTATTTTTATATTTTATTACTTCCCTTCTACGTGACTTTACCGAAAGAACCAAGAAGATACATTTACACATCTCCACACCCATGCACGGTCCTTGGGGAGCTCAACAAATCCCAACAATAGTGCACTAATATTAAACACCACCAAATCACTTTTGACAAGGTCCCACAAGTATGCATAAATACATTTTTACAAAATGTGTCCTAAAGGTTTGAGGAAATAAACAATAATACTGTAATTCAAGTTCCCTCAAGCACAAAAATAATTTTTTACATGATTTTAAACGTATTATGGAACTTTTCAGAAGATGGTGTTGTTAAAGCTGCCTGCTAAAAGGAATGGAATGACAACATTTTTATTTTTGTGACACACAGCAACACCATTATAGTATCTGGATAAATAATAAAGTGCAAATGCAAGGTGTTTTATGTCAAGTGAACATTGTAAAAGCTCTCTTCTCCCCCACACAAAGGCAAACATCACACCTGTAGAAAACATTTGGCTATTTATCCCATATAACACAAACTTAGAGCAAAGCCTTTGGGCCATATCGAATGTAATGTTTAAAGCAAAAAAAATTAAAACGAAAATATACATTGATGCTTTAACGTTTTTATTAAGTATATAAAGTAGTATCTGAGTATCACAGTAGAATGTTAATTTAAACATAAGGTTGGAAATCTCATTAACAGCACCTATGCCTCATTATCATGGTGACTGAAAACTGGGCTCTACTGGCCCAGGAATGAGCCAGTATCAGCCCTGAAAACATACCAGGGCCCAGGTCTGTGAACCCATGCTTCCTTAGATTTCTAGGGCTTGTCTCCTCCCACTTCCTTTATCCCCCACCCAAAAGGGCTGAGGTAGTGGAGGTCAGGAAGCCATCTTTGGAAAAGTAGCTTTTAAGTTTAAACTTGCCATTGGTTGGGTTTAAAATAACATGTTTGTTTAAAATGTTTCCGTAATTTGACATAAATTTAAATGGAAAATTTAACTATTGATTGCACAATTTAACTATTGATTTCTACATTGAATCCATGATGGCAAGCCTGGTTCTGGTTTTGGCACAGCTGTAAGCACAGGTCAAGTGAGTATAGGATCAGGGTCAGTGCAAATTTAAGAATGTGTGCACTCTGATGTCAACACTGCACCAACAACGAGCTAGAATGTTTCCCATAGGTTGTAGAGATGAGGAATAAAACAAGTGTATTGGGTTGGAAAGTGACTTGGTAAGTTGAATGTGGGACTTTACAGAACTGCATCAGACTAGCCAGGCTGCTATGGAAATGTGGACTGAGAGACTGGTAATATGCGAATTCAACTGCATGTACTGTTCTTGTCTGCATGTCACCAAGATAGACTTCTACCAAGAATAGTAAATTAAAACATGTTTTTTGTTGATAAAAGAAACCCACCAAGTAGCCTTACCCATTAACTGGAATAGGCAGTATGTATAGCCAACAAGTTCCAATATTCTCTATGTTGAGAAGTGAACAATACAATTACAGTGCATGCACTCTGACGAGTGTGGTGGCAACGGGGGCTTAGTCATTCAAACATCCTCAAAGGTCACCCAGCATTAGCGGGCAGGTTCCTTGTAGAGAAACAACACATGCCGGTTAAACACAAATAGAACAATTTAGATATAACGTGAATCTAGTTACATTTAGATATAAACCTGTACATACCAGCGAGGCAGAATCCTGGGACATTTCATTTTTGGCCACAGCATCACCGTCACAGTCTGAAGTCATGGGATCTCCTTTACAACTTTCCTCTTCCGTGGCCACAGGGCATTTACTGTAAATGCCAAAGGAAAGGTCAACAAGGTCATTAGCAGTACCTTACCAATTGTGACTCAAAACAAACACTGGTAGTTGAAACATGAATGGAATGTATTATTATCACATGCTGGTAAAAAGAAAATAGACGACCAAGTTAACGGAGCTAACACAATATGCATTACCATCTGCGAGGTTAGACTTTTTCGATACCAATATACATAATCTACAAGGAAAGACAGATGTACTGTATGCACGACTAACAACTGTGTTATTTGGCTTTTATTAATAAAACTATATTCTACAAGTTTTGGAGCTTTCAATGTTATATATTTAATTTTGCGGTTTCCCATTTTTATTTCAAGTGCCCTAATGGCATCTTATCATGATACCACGAGATAAAGAATCCATTCTGAATCACAAAGAAGTGTGATCGTGTATGCCTGACAAAAGCTGCACAAGCGTTTTATATAACTAGTTTTATATTTATACAATAAATAGGGGGCACATTTTCCTCACTCGCTTTCTTTGGAGATTGGTGTTTTTATGCGATAGCCAAATCCAGAATTTGAATATTCAAGGGATTATGACAGATTACGTGAATCTCAAATTTCATTATGCATTTTTGTGCAGTCATTAGCGACTAACAAGTTACACTTCATAACCCGGTTTAATCACGCAACCCCATGGTAAATGCAATACAAGCTCAGAACTTTGACCTCTAAGCCACCCAGCCACCTCAAGGGACATCCTAAAATTTAAAGGATTTGTGTACTGTACTTTCGGTAGTGTAATTTTATACGATCATTGTGTAATGTACTATGAGGTGATTGGTGAGTGTTAGAAATCACAGTCGCTAAAAATTATCCTGTACAGCACTGTAAAATTATGTAGAAACTGGTCACTACAAAACAGCATTATTATTGGGGGAAGGAAAATGTATTACAGTAGTTTAAAGAACAAATGCACATGTTAGGAAAATAAGCAAGGTTGATAAATACCCCTGGTATGCTTTGATAATCTATGAAGATAATTCACTGGCTTTTATCAATGTGTTTGACATGTAAATAACCAAACGTGTAAATAAGTGGTTAATATACACGTACAAAAAAAGTACAATGTATGAATGGTCAAATAATGAACACAAATAAACATTCTGCAAAAACATTTCCTTTCAGCATTTTGTAAGAAAAAAAGCAAATTCCTAAATCAAAAACGCAATAAATAACACTAACCT